CCCCGCCCGTCTGCATATCATCAAGATGAAGAGCGAGAGGAGGAATTCTGGGAGTTGAAGTCCACAAGTCTTAAAGCTGTCAAGTTACAAGACACTTGCACCCCTAATCCTTTAGGAAAAAACAAACCAGAGGTGTCCAAACTTGACAGCTTTAAGACTTGTGGACTTCAACTCCCAGAATTCCTCCTCTCGCTCTTCATCTTGATGATATGCAGACGGGCGGGGGGAGGGAGCTGGCACTGGTTCTAAACGGTACTGTAGATTTGTGGAACCTCTTCTATAGAACCCAGCCCTGATGTGGACCAACTCCAGAGTTCCTCAGCTAGTATGCTAGCTGGAGAATTCTGGGAGATGAAGTCCACATGATATAATTTGCCAAGGGTGAAAAAAAACCAACGATTTGGGAATTAACAGCTTTGTCAAAGAAAAGCAACACAATTTGAACCAGATAGCTTAGTCTCACTTTCCATTTAAAGGTCCTTGTGTTCTATGTGACTTAAAACACCTTTGGTTTTGTTTTTCTTTCAGGCTTGTGTTTTGCGCAGAAGACCCTGGGAAGACCGACATATCTCCTGGCCAAGAACTCTGGTTTGTAAAATGCCGAGAAGGGTGGCAAAAATGGAACCGAACAATGTAAGTCCTGGTGGTGCCAGTGTAGAATTTAATGGCTTGCAATAGAGTTAGCATGAGAAGTTATCTGAGTGTGTTGCAGAGAAGGAATTTGTTCCTCAAATCTATTGGGCAGGGTACAGAGAACCGGTTGTTAAATTATTTGAATCCCACCACTGGTCGAAACCCTGCTCTAAGAGAACTCTTGCCCATCCCTAGGTAAATCGGGGGTTTTACTCAGCATTTCCCACTACAAAGTAAATTTAACTTTATGATACCTGGAAGTCTCCATCAGTGGTTCTCCTCAAGCATGACAAGACCATTTGTGGTTCAGTGGCCATTAGTCAAATCTGAAACATCCCACAAATTGCCTGAGACAGGAACTTGGCCTCCTCCCACAAATCTTTAGAGGGAGTATTTTTTTCCCCCTCCCCCTGTCTTATTTCTCTTTGAGGCCAGTTCATCTTCAATGATTGTCAAAGCGCATCAAAGCTGTAATTTGAGACTCTTCAATCATGCTCTTTGTTTCTCTCTCCCTTTCTTAGACCAGGATAAAATCGGCATTGAAATGCCCTCCTCCCGAAGCCTCTCAGATCCATCAGGGACCAACCCAGCTGGAAAAAAGCATTTGGTGCGACGAAAGACAAAAAAGACCAAAACTTGTTTCTGCAGACTTCTTCCTCTGGCTTCCTCACTTGTCAGGACTTGCAAGAGCTTATAGTTTAAAGATGGATCTGTGGGGTTGCTAAGAACTATCTCAGCGCGAATGATAATTCAGAGAACTTTCTATATTTATGGCTTCTACTTTTTTTNAACTCCCAGAATTCCTCCTCTCGCTCTTCATCTTGATGATGTGGGGATGGGCGGGGGGAGGGAGCTGGAACCGGTTCTAAACGGCACTGTAGATTGGTGGATCCTCTTCTATAGAAGAGGTTAGAACTGGCAGGAGCCCACCCCTGCCCCCACAGCAAAGAGAAGCAGAGATGTTTAAACTGATTCTTTTATCCAAATCTGAGATTATATCTAATTTTGTCTCTGTTTTGAAATTGCTTCTGGATTTTGTGTTTTGGGCAATAAGGGGGAAAAAAGAAACTTTGATTCTGTTTTTGTAAACTAGACAGATTTATTGTTATAGAAATGGCTCGTACATACTGTTGTGTAAAAGCAAAACATTGTGGCTACAATGTTGTTGCCTTCTACTGTGCTAAAGAGTGTCGGAAGTTGGTGCCTTTTTCTTTTCTTTTTCTCCCATTAAATTATACTCCCTCTTTCTCCCTCCCTCCCTCTCTTCTTGCTTTCTTGTAAATTTTTTCCTTTGTATCTTATATTTCGATAAACGAACCAAAAAAAAGTTAAATTGTAAGCATTGGTGAGCATGTTCTTGATGGTTCTTTCATTAGGCCATTGTTTATTGCTTGATTGTTGGTCAAGGTGTTCATCTCTAGTTATCTGGGTGTTGATTGCTGGTGAGGAGATGTTTTGGAATTGTGTTTCTTTTTTTCTTTTTTTACTTTTCCATTGTCTCTTTGGAATGGTAGGTAGATGTTGATTATCTCTATGTGCCTGTTGATGGTTGCTTTGTCTGAGTGCCAAGCTTCCAGAAATTCTCTAGGGTTTTTAGATTTGGCTTAGCTTACTATGTTCACAATTTCTCAGTTGAAATTACTGCGAAGTCTGTCCATGTGTTGTGAAACTAACAAGTTTTCATCAAATCTCCTGACTGTGGATTGGTGTTCACATATGTGCTCCGCTAGCCTTCTGTCTATTTGTCCTGCATAGTGGCTGTTTCAGTCCCTTGCACTATATAGAATAGAATAGAATGACAGAGTTGGAAGGGATCTTGGAGGTTTTCTAGTCCAACCCCCTGCCTAGGCAGGAAACCCTATACCACTTCAAACAAATGGTTGTCCAACATCTTCTTAAAGACTTCCAGTGTTGGGGCATTCACAACTTCTGAAGGCAAGCTGTTCCACTGATTAATTGTTCTAACAGTTAGGAAATTTCTCCTTAGTTCTAAGTTGCTTCTCTCCTTGATTAGTTTCCACCCATTGCTTCTTGTTCTACCCTCAGGTGCTTTGGAGAATAGTTTNAAAAATAATATAGAAGCAGTATGATATCATTTCTGTTCCCAGTTTAGCCAGGAATTCTAGAATTTCCAAATGGCCTCTGATCAAATTGCTAATTGCCGACCCCGGTGAGCTTTTGCAGGGATCACCAAAAGTCACCTAGATTTATGCGGGCCATCTGCTTGGGGAAAAAAACCCCTGGGGTATAAAAGTAGCTGGTATGGAAGAACAGATGCTCAAAACACAGTAATGCCAACCTAGTCAAAAATAGTTGCAATCATATTGGGGATTTTTTTTTTTAAATCCCATTTACGCCTTCAGCAACATTCCTTCTGTTTGGGAGGAACACAGCGCTGACTCACTCAAAATGAAATAACTGCTGCTTTAATAAACATTTCAAGTCAAGGGATGATGGGATGGAGGGTTTCTGCCTAGGGAATTCTCAGGGTGACCCATACATGCTTAGTAAACAAAATGCCGTATCTGAAAAATCAAATGCAGGCAGCTGACAAGTTTATCAGTGTGTCTGTTCCTCGGTATGAATTAGTCTGCCTCTTTTAGCAAACTCTAGGGGGGGGGGGGGAACAGCATCTTGCAGTTCAACATTTGATTTATTAGTTGGTGCAGATCTGGAAAGCATGGATCTTTTCCGCAGCTGCCATTAGTCCAAATTGTTTCCTAAACAGTTGTAGGGAATGGAGGGATTACAGACTTGTGCAATTTATGGTGGTACTGATAAAGGGGAATATTTGTAGCTCAGGGCTGAAATGAGGCCTTGCAGACATTTCATTATCCTAGTAGATAACATCATCAGTGCTGGATGATGAGTGGGGTTTGCTCCCTGTTTGCTTTGTAAGCATCGGTTTTTCGAGTGATGCTGAATGATATTCAAAAGTTGGTAGAGTATTATGGACTAGATTTGATAATATGAGAATGAATGATATATTATCCCCTGCACAGTGGTGGGTTTCAACATTTTTTAGAACCTCTTCTGTGGGTGTGGCCTGCTTTGTGGGAGTGGCTTGTCAGCCATGTGACTGGGTGGGAGTGGCTTGTCAGCCATGTGACTGGGTGGACGTGGCCAACTT